AGTAGTATAAGCAKGTGGTGAAACTGGAGTCAGGCAGGTGGTTCAGTTGTAGTTTTCAATGGTTGATAAACAACGTGTGAATCCARCATTGTTCTCTGTTTGCTTTTTGCCTTGATAAAATAGTTTTTATTACTAAATTATGCACAAGCATAAGTTTCAGCTCAACAACAATTTGTTTAAAAGCCGAAAAAGAAGCTGAAATACGAACTGAACACAACCTGTGAGTGAGTTGGATGTGGGGGGAGATGACAGATCCAGTAGAGGGGGATAACTTCTGTACAACAAGTCAATGAAAACACCTGAAGGTTACCGGTGTCGCGGTGTCCATCCCGAATGAGGGAGGCCATCAACCTGAAGTCCTATCAGGCCTTGTTGGCTGGTARGACTGAGGCATCTGAGGGGTTTTTACGAGTTAAGCAGGCTTACTATGTGGTGSATGATGCTGATAGGAGATTTAACAGGCCTCAGAATATGAGCACACAATCAAAAGTGTTTGTTTTTGTTTCTTTGCAGACACTAAACCAGTCAAAAAAGCCTACTATTGTATAAACACCCCATCATGAAAAGTACATTGACATAAGTGTGTAGTGGAAAGCAACACCGTTCTACCAAGAAATGTATTTACCTGTTTGGCTTAGCATTCTCAGAAAGACATTTCAAAATACAAAACAGAATTCAGATGGTTGATTAGTTGAGCAGCTTCACAAATGCAAGTTGGTCAAAATCATTTACTCCCCCCTACAGCCAACACCCTTTAATTCAGTGAAGCTGTCATAGCCTGATTTTAATAGTACAAAACATTAAGCACTTAAAACATTTGCACAATGAAAATGGAAACCTAATGCACAAAGTTTTGACTGGTGATAAGAGGTAAGTTTGCAAAAGAGGAAGGAGAGAAGAATGGTAAAATAAAAACCACAGAGTTTCTTCTCTTTTTAGCTGAAATCAATGTGTGAGATGAAGCTGTGCTCACTTTCTGTCAGATGATGCAGAGGATCATCTCTGCTCAGTTAGGAAGACTTCCCCACTGCTGTGTCAGCGGGCTTTGATTACAGTGGCTTTTTGTTGTGTTTCAAAC